AGATGGATTGGCCAAGTGGCAGCATCGATGGACTCAAGTGTGGCAACAGTAGTGAGGTTGGCCCAGGATCGGGCAGTGTTTCGTTCTGCTGAGCATAAGGTCACTATGGGTTGGTAGTGACTCGATGGCATCTAACAACAACAATCTTCACATGCCCTGTCAATTTGAGTTAGTGCTAATGTCTTCCCTCCAAGTTTTCATCTTAATTCCACCACTGTATATAGTGGAAATCAATTTCCCTTTTCTCCAAATCATGAATCAGTATTCTCAATTCCATCTGCTCAGTACTCCATCCTCTCCCTTTGGTTTGTAGGGTACTACAAAACCTTCATTACATGCTACGTTCCCATAGGCACACGGGTCAGTCTTTGGGTAGTATAGTTTCTAGCACAGAGGGTAGATCTGTGTTAACTTGGGTGGAGGAGAATCAATGTACAATAACAAGGAAGTTGAGCAAGAATGATGGAAGCATGGGAAGATACTGGGAGAAGTATCTTTAAGGCAGCAAAGGTAAATACTGTTATGTACACAATCCTGTTGGTGTGGTGGCACTGTAGGATAAGCACTGGACTTCTAACCACAAGGTCAGTGGTTCAAACCTTGGAAACCCTATACGGGCTTTGCTATGAGTCATAACTAACTTGACAACACTTAGCAACAACAACAACACAGTCCTGCAAGAATGGCAATCTACGAATAGATGCATGAAGACACACAGGCTGAATATGTGTGTGGGGGGGGGGGGCAGAAAATATTCACTAATATATAAAGAGATTTGGTGGAGGGTATCGGTGCTTGTTTAATTACCTTTGTTACAAATATAGCCATGAATGTGGTAGCATATACGTGGGGCAAAGTTATGAAAGCTTCTTGGCCATAACCAAATACCTTGAAGGAGTGAATCATGGGACCTAAGGCCCTGTCCATTGTCTCAGGAATAACAAGGTCAAGTGGCATAAAACAGTCCACAAAGACAATGTTCTACAACCTACTTTGGTGAGTAGCAACTGAGGTCTTAAACGACCATAAGGTGCAACTTTTAGTCTCTCCCTTTCTGGAGAAAAGAAGATCAAAGAGAATCAAAGATTCATGAAAATAATTCGTCCAATGGAGTAAGGGACCATGTGAATATCAGTCTCCACATCAGGGCTCTCACACACATGAGTATATCTATATATATATATTATTCTTGTTTGTTATTGTTGTTATTGTTAAGTGCCGTCAAGTCAGTTCCGACCCATAGCGACCCTGAACAGGGTTTCCAAGGCTGTAAATCTTTACAGGAGCAGAAACCTCATCTTTCTCCCGTGGTGCCACTGGTAGTTTCGAACTGCTGACCTTGTGGATCAAAGCCTGATTCGTAACCACTACACTACCAGAGCTCTTGTTAGGTGCTGTCCAATCAGTTCTGAGTAATAGTAACCCCATGTACAATCCAGTGTACAGCTGAATGAAAGCACTGTCCAACCCTTTGTCATCTCACAATTGTTAGGTTTGAACCATAGCTGCAGCCACTGTGTCAGTCTATCTCACTGAGGGTCTTCCTCTTTTTTGTTGACCCTCTAATTACCTGATTGTGCCTCATAAAGTATGTGAGATGAAGTCTCACCATTCTTGATTCTAAGGAGTAATTACAACTGAACCTCTTCCAAACCAAATGACAGTTCATTGTATATTCATTATTCATTGCCAACACTATAATTCAAATACATCAATACTTCTTTGATCTTCCTTATTCATTGTCCAACTTTTACTTGCACATGAGGTTACTGAGAATACCATGACTTGGGTCAGTCACACATCAGTCCTCTAAGTGACATCTTTGCTCATTAGTACTTAAAAGAGGTCTTTTGTAGCATATTTTCCCAGTGCAATACATCGTTTCCTTTCTGGGCTGCTATTTCCGTAAGTGTTGATTTTGGATGCAAGAAAACTAAATCCTTCACAACTTCAATCTTTTCTGTTTATTATGATGTTGTTTATTGGTCCAGTTGTGATCATTTTTGTTTTCTTTACACTGAAGTGTAATCCATACTGAAGGCTGTAGTCTTCTATCTCTGTCAATAAATGCTTTGAGTCCACTTCACTTCTAGCAAGCAAGGTGTGTCATCTGCATATTGCGGGTTGTTAATGAGCATTCCTCCAATACTGACACCACATTCCTCTTCAGATAGCCCAGTTTCTGATTTGCCCATCATACAGAGTAAACAAGTATAGTGAATGGATACAACCCAGATACACAACTTTCCTGATATCCCAGTTTGTTTAAGCCACTGCTTTTTGGTCTATGTACATGTTCTACATGAGCACTGTTAAGTGTTCTGGCCTTCCCATCACTCCCAATGTTATCCATAGTTTGTTACAATCCACCCAGTCAAATGCCTTTGCATAGTCAGTAAAACATAAGTAAACATCTCTGATAAATTGTTGTTGTTAAGTGCCGTTGAGTCAAGTCGGACTCATAGCGACCCTATATAGGGTTTCCTGTGAATAGTGGTATCAAAACCCAACATTTCTCTGCTCACGTGTATCAACAGGTATCCGGATGCTGGACCAGCCTTTTATGACAGACATCATCGAAGCCTCCTCCATCAGTCACATGCCACAGCTTATCGACATCTACAGTGCCAGCTGGGGCCCCACAGACAACGGGAAGACGGTGGATGGGCCCCGGGAGCTAACACTACAGGCCATGGCCGATGGCGTAAACAAGGTAAAGGTGTCCCTGCCACTGTGACACCCTGGCGAATTTGCAAGTTAGGATACCTGGGTGAAGCTGAAGTGACAACACAGTGGATGAAGATGCAGGCAGGTGGCAGAGGTTGGGCTGTTACCCTGTGTATTAGTTGGGGATCCTCTGAGAAACAGATACCAAGATGAGATTAGGCATTAAAGAGACTTATTAGAGGCTGTTTCTATGAAGGATATAGGGTCACGTTAACAGGTTAAGACATCAAAATAACTTTTTAAGGGGTACAATTCAATCCACAGCAAGTATGGTTTTAAAATCCACACAATGAATAGAAAAGGCAGTAGCAATGATCCATTTTCTGAAAGTAATGACACTATTTCCTCCCAGCTCTGATGCACTGTTTGATGACAGAGCCACGCACTTGTCTCTAAGTGTCAGAAACAAAGTTCCAGGCAGATCAACTAAAAGAATTTCTTTTAGATGTGCTTGGAGTGATAGAATGTGACAAGAAGTATTGGACAGTACCTCGTTAAGCTTAGGACCAGAAAGACAACCCAGGTCTAAAGTTGTGCTGTGGCAATGCAGCTTGCTTCCCTCAGGCTCTATGTTCATGGGGCTCAGCCTCATTCCCCAGGTCTGTTTCCTCCTGGCTCTCTGTATCCTTCTTCAATGCATTTTCCTCTTCCCTTAGGCTACATGCCATTGGTAGTTCTCTGTGGACATGTCTACCTCTGCCTTGTATGTTACAAATGTCCGGCTTCTTCTCCAACTGCTACCTGCTCCAATGCTTTAGGGGAAAGTTTGGCTCAGAATTACACCCCTCCACCCAGTGAGGCTCCAAAAATAATAGACACGGTTCTATTTATAAGTCAGTTAATGAAAGGTTCAGAACTTGAAGGATTAAACATCAGTTAGAAGTTTTCCAGCAAAACCCTTTTATTTTCTACTCTAGATAGCATTAAATGGTAGTCATATTTTACTCTGATTTTTCAGTTCTCGGATCGAGTTCTTGGCAATTGTTGAATTCTTTCAAAAATCTGAACAAAAACACACAACCATATGCTATTCCTCTCTATCTTACAGTGGTGATGGTGGTGGTGTGCCAAGGAGTCAATTCCAACTCAAAGCAACACTGTATAGGGTTTCCAAGACTAAAAATCTTTACCAGAGCAGAAAACTTCATCTTTCTTCCACAGAACATCTGTTAGTTTACAACTGCTAAACTTGCAAGCAGCCTGACTCGTAACCACTATGCTACCTTCAATCTTAGGGTGGACAGTCAAAAAGAGATTTGGGCAGAGTCAAAATTAGGTGGCATACAGTTGGTTCTGATTCATGGCGACCTCATAGATGGTAGAGAACTCCTCTCGATGGGATTTTCAGTGGTTGATTTTTCAGAAATAGATTGCCAGTACTTTCTTCCAAGGTACCTCTTGGTGTCCTTGAAACACCAACCTTTTAGTTAGCAGCTGCGGCTGAGCACATTATTCATTGTACCACCCCAGGACTCGAGCCAAGTTTAAGCTGTATGGAAATAATCTGTTCACTGTTCAAGGTTATCCTTGATGGCACCTAGCCTGTTTTTATAGCCAAGATCGTGGAATTGACACAATTACAATATTTTTCTTCTCATTGTGACTTTGAGAAGTGTCCTTCGTCCATCCTAAGCCTTGCTGTTGTTGTCAGGTGCCACCAAGTCAGCTCTGATTCATAGTGACCCAATGTACAACAAAACAAAATACTGCCTAGTCCTGTACCATCCTCAAATTGTTGTTTTGTTTGAGCCCACTGTTACTGCCATTGTGTTAATCCAGCTCATGGGGGTCTTCCTCTTTTTCGCCGACACTCTCCTTTTTCAAGCCTAATGTCCTTCTCCAGGGACTTGTCCCTCCTGACAACATGTCCAAAATAAGGGATACAAAGCTGCACCATCTGGCTTCTAAGGAACGTTCTGGCTGGACTTCTTCCAACACAGAATTGTTTGTTCTTCTGGCAGTTCATGGTACTTTCAATGTTCTTTTCCAACACCATAATTCAAATGCATCAATTCTTCTACAGTCTTCCTTATTCACTGTCCAACTTACACATGCTTATGAGGTGATTGAAATGCCATGGCTTGGGCCAGATGCATCTTAAGCCTCAAGGTGCCTCAAACTGACATCTTTGCTCTTTAGCTCTTTTAAGAGGTCTTTTGCAGCAAATTTGCCTAATGAAATATGTTGTTTGATTTCCTGACTGCTGCTTCCATGAACATTGATTGTAAATCACAGCATAATGGACATCAATCTTTTCTCTGTTTATTATGATATTATTTGTTGGTCACGTAATGAGGATTTTCATCCAGATGCAATCCATACAGAAGGCTGTATGTAGTCTTTGATTTTTATTGGTATTTTAGGTCATCTTTGCTTCCAGTAAGCAAGGTTGTGTTATTTGTATATCAAAGGTTGCTAATGAGTCTTCCTCTAATCCTGATGCCACATTCTTCTTCATATAATTCAGCTTCACTATCAACCCTATGAAATCCTGGTGTGACTCTATAGGGTAAACACTGGACTGCTAACCACAAGGTCGGCATTTCAAACCCACCAGCGCCTCCTTGGAAAATCATATGAATTGGAACCAACTTGACAGCACTTGACCACATCAATCCTATAACATCATTGCCTCAAAGTAGTAATCATGTAGAAATTCTGCAGGAGCAGAAAGCCTCATGTTTCTGCCACTGTGAAACTGACAGACTCAAACCTCCAAGCTTGTAGTTCACATTTCACATTCCTACAGTGTAACACTGTTGTTGTTGTTAAGCGCCCTGGAGTCAGTCCTGACTCATAGTGACTACTATCCTAGGAGTAACTTGTGAGCTTGAAGCACCAACTTGTGATTCAAACTGATCTTGCAATCCAGTGCATAAACCCATGATGCTGCACCAGGAATGTGTAACACTAGGAAGGAAAATGTTCCTGAGTTAGAGGTGTTGAGAGCTGGCTCCCAATGACATTACTTTGGAAACTTGAACTGTGACATAGAAATTGGCAAACACTACAAATAAAGACCACCGCTCATCTGTCAGTTTGTCGTACTGTTGACTTGTGAGTTGCTGTGATTCTGGAAGCTGTGCCACCAGTATTTTAAATACCAGCAGGGTCACCCATGGTGGACAGGTTTCAGATGAGCTTCCAGATGAAGACAAACTAGGAAGAAGGAGTGATGAACTGCTTCCGAATATTTAGTCACTGAAAACCTTATGAATAGCAAACTGAGTCAATAGCACCTAACAACAACAACAACAAATAAAGATTTTTCGTCCCCTTTCAGAGAGCTGGTTATTAAAAATTTACCAGCACAAGACTGGCTCTCTGCCCACCTGACACACCTAGACCCACTCAAACAACCCACTTGGGAGTCCTGGTGTGGTGCTGTAGGATAAGCCCTGGACTGCTAACCAAAAGGTCGGTCGTTCAAACCCACCAGCTGCTCCTCAGAAACCCTATACATGGAATTTCTGAACTCATTAAGGCAAGACTGGTCTTTACCTATAGAAAGACTAGATGGGTGTCCAAAGATTGTTGTTAAGTGACCTCCAGTCGCTTCCTTAATGAGTTCAGAAATTCCCTGAAAACACTGGGGAGGAAGTACCTGAAACACCAAGATTTTGTTGCTCAAAAATAAAGTTTCCCCAACAACACAAGTTCCCCAGAGACCATTGTTGCTAGGTGTTTTTGAGTCGGTTGGACTCATAGTGTCCCTGTATAGGGTTTCTAAGGAGTGACTAATGAATTTGAACCACTGACTCTGCGAACCGATTTTGCTGTCCAGTACTTATCCTATAACACCACACCAGAACACTCCCAGAGATTATGTTGGGTGATTGTGTTAATTACTTGTGGCTGCTTTAACAAAATACCACAATGCAGGTGACTTTAAATAAGAGAAATTTATTCTCCCTGAATTCTGAGACTAGTGGTCTGAATTCAGGGTGTTGGTAAGGTCTTGCTCCCTCTAAAGCTTCTATGGGAAGATCCTTTCTTGTCTTTCTGTTTCCAGCCATTCCTTGGCTTACAGGTACATCTTCACACAGCCATCTTCCCTCTGTCTGTCTCATGGGCACTTCTCTTGTATACTGATTTCACTCAGACTGGATTAAGACCCATCTACTCCACCATGACTTGTAGCTTTGAAATACAGCATTTTCAAAGACCTTATTTCTAAACAAGGTCACATTTACAAGCATCAGAAGTTAGGACTTCAACACAAATCTGGGGTAACACAATTCAACTGACAACAGCAACTTTCTAAGAGACACAGTACTCACACATTTAACAAATGGAATCCTAGAAATGTAATTATGAAGTGGTAAACTGAGTCCTAGGAAGTGAACAACATCCACAATGGTGGCCAAACATCAGCTGCTCCATTTGCACAGGCCCGAGTAGGAAATTTTCTGCTATTCATAAGCTTTATGAATAAACCATAAGGTTTGTAGACCTTATGAATAAATGTCACCACTGGACCAATAAACAACATTCTTACCAATGGAGAAAAGACTTCAATTTAATGGATCAACCATCAACACTCAAGGAAGCAACAGTCAAGAAATCAAATGATGTATTATTGCATTAGGCAAATCTGCTGCACAAGACCTTTTTAAAGTGTTGAAGAGCAAAGATGTCACCCTGAGGACTAAGGTGCGCCTGACCCATTCCATGGTATTTTCAATAACCTCATATGCATATGAAAGTTGGAATAAGGAAGACTGTAGAATTGATGCATTTGAGTTATGGTGTTGGAGGAGAATATTGAAAGTTTCATGGGCTGCCAAACGAACCAACAGATCTATTTGGAAGAAGTGCAGCCAGAGTGTTCCTTGTAGGTCAGGATGGCCAGATTTCATCTCTCATACTTCAGACATATTGTCAGGAGGGACCAGTCACTGGAAAAGGATATCATGCTTGGTAAGGTGGAGGGTCAGAGGAAAATCCCTAGTGAGATGGATTGGCAAAGTGGCAGCATCAATGGGC